CACCAGCGCCACCCTCGTGCCTCTCTGCCCTCCGAGCCCTCCGACCCCTCCGAGCTCTCCACCTCTCCCAAGCCCTCTCATGAGCCCTCCTACGCCTCGCTTTTGGCCAGCCCTCCCAGCCCCCACCCCTCCTGGGCCCTGCCGCCTGACACCTCTATCGGTGGAGGGCTTTAGGTCACGGTCCGCACTCCCGCCCTCCCGACCCCTCCACACCCCTACAGCAGCACCCCTACCCCTCCCGCCGTTTTAGGGCCTGCCCACCCGCACTCGTGTGGTCGGCGACTAGCCGGGGTCGTCCTCCCGATGGGGGACTAGCACTAGCCGTCTTCCACATGGTCCCTCGGGTCCCTACTGCTCCTAATCTCTCGCACATCCTCCTGCTGATCTCCGCAAAGTCCTGCTCCTCCCTCGTCTCGCCCTGCGCGTCTGCTCCGCCTCACCGTCTTCTGCCCTGCGTCGTCTGGCGACTGGTCCTCCATAGTCGGTTGAGGTCGCCGCCCTCCTCGTGCCTCTTCCCAACGAGCAACGTCCTCCCTCGGCGGCCGATGCCGTCTGCTCCGACTCCCCCGTCCCCGGGTCTGCCCTGCTCTCGTCTGCGCTAAAGTCTCTGCTTCGTCATCACTGGCGTCTCACCTCTTCTTTCTCCCCTTCTTGTATGCTTTGCATATCGCGCCGATTCCTTCTCCAATCGTGAGTAGTACTGCTACGCATATGCAAGGAGGCCCATATGCATACGCATCACATTACGCCCTCTCGGGAATACGTAAACTCGGTGCGTGTACGTCACTTGCCAGTCCAAATGCGTCGCATTCGCAGCCCGTCGAACGCCTCCCCTTCAAAAATAAATAGAAAACGTCAATACCTACACGTATTAATCGCGTGCGTGACGGTGCGATGGCCCTGTGGTTGGTTGCCTCATACGTACCCACGTGTCACGTATACGGATTATGGATCTCCGCCGGTGCGCCGCGGCCCGCGGGGGGGCTGGGCGTCTTCGACGTATCACGTATCCGCATTACGCATACGTCAGCTTCACCGCAAAGCTTTGCCCGCGGGGGACGGATCGGTGCAATGGCCCGCGCGGCGGGTGCCTTACGTACCACGCGTCACGTTTACGGATTACGTATCTCGCCCCGCGCTCCCCCGAGCCCCCCCCCCCCCCCCGCTTACGTATCACGCATACGCATTACGCATTACGTATTTTTCATCCTTCGTAGTCCAAGGCAATGTTACAAAGCATAAATGGTACAAAGACAATGGCAGTGAAGTGCCAAGAGAGACACCTTCTCCGCCGACAGTCATCTCAAACAGTTCCCTCGAGGTCTCACATGACCCACACACAGCAGATTGCAGAGCCGCGCGGGCCTCGGCCGGGCCAACTTCGGGCGTATTTTCCGTTTTTCCGGAAAATAACGGAGAGGGGGGGGGGGGGGGCTACGGGGGCGGCTGTCGAGGGCTATGCCCGAGTCTGTTGTTACCAGCGCACAAACAATCCTAGCCAACTTATGGCAGCCCTAGCGGCAGCGCGAACAAAGTTCGTGCTCGAGTATGCGTAATGCGTGAGGCGTAACCCCCGTTGGCCGCCACTTCTCACTCGAATCCGGAATGCGTTTGCGTAGTACGTGGTGCGTAGGCCCTCTCCGACACCTTGGGCGTGCGAATGCATCAAGCGTATGCGTAATGCGTGAGGCGTAACTCCCGTCGGCCGCCGATCGGCCGAGAAGGTGGATGCAGAAGACAGATTCGTAATGCGCAAGACATTTGTAGCTCCTTCAGGCGCCAC